ATATATACAGACATATATATATATATATAATTTCAAAAATAATATTTCTTCAGCAAACAATAAAAAATTTAAAAAAAAAATACAACAATGTATTTTTAATAATCTCAAGGTTCAAAACCTGACATGTAATAGATCTGCAATTGGTTAAAAGTAAGTTCTAATGATGACCGTCATTGTTTTTCACACGTTTTTTTCCCTGAATAGTCAAACTTCGTTCTCTCAAATAATTGTTATATAAGAGTATTTCTGAGAGAATTCTCTAAATTTTAATTAAATTTTAGTTAAAATAGTTAAAAGATAATTTTAATTAGTAATTTTTTAATAATCCATTCCAACTATACTCTCTATTTTAATTCAATATAGATTATTTTAATATCTATTAAAGTTAAAATATAAATGACTTTATTAAATTTAAAAAAAAACTATATATTTATTATGGTTTAAAATAATAAAATAATACAAAAATTTAAATGACTAATCTTTTTTTGTTAGCTATATTTAGCTAGTGTGACTAGCATAAAAAAAAGTCTTCATAATAGTTAATTATTTAGTTAATGGTTTGAGTCAAGAAAAATCATTAAAAAGTTAAATTTTTATTCATTTTAACTAAAAACACAAAGTGATTAGCATGCCTTCAGATGCATTAAGTAATAACACAAATATAACTTTATAAGGGCTTTACTCAGTTTTGTTTTGTTTTTTTTTTTGTTTTTTCTTCTTTTTGTTTATAAGAAAGTAGACCGCCCGAATGTGAATAAAAAAACACAAAAAATAATCTACCTACTTGCTGGACACAACAACATCTTTAGCACGTGTATTTCCTGATCATTAATTTTCTCAATCATCTTTCCATATTGTCCCACCTACTTATTCTTTTTGGAAAACCTACCTACCTATTCTGATTAAATTAGAAATGCGTAACCATGCTCATTGAGCTCATTATTTTCACAAGTTCAAATTGTGAACTTAAGTTTAAAAGTGAATTTTTATAGGAGAAAACATTGTAATAAAAAAATTGAATGAATTTTTATGCGAAAAAAAAAAATAGCTAACTAAAACATTTGAGTTGTGGTTCAAATTATGAGAAGAAAGGGTATTCTTAACAAACTTGTAAATTAGAACATATATGCAACACGAAATTTCATAGACTAGGAAGAAATTCCAATTTAATACAATTGTGTACCAAAAAAATTAATAAAAGTGTTAATCATTGATTGTGTATTTAAAAAAAAAATCAATATGTGCAATATGCATGGATCTAAGCATAATAAAAACTTACATGTATATACGTTATACAGGAATAATTTGTTTTCTGATTTTTTGGAAAATGTGAAATGGTTTCGCTAAAAAAAGGAGAATAACTAAGTAGTATTTTGAAAACGAAATAATTTAATTAAGCTGTTGCGGTCAAGTAGTCGGTGCGCATGGCATCATATCTCTATCACAACCAATAGGGAGAAAGGGGAAATGATTTGCAAAACAAAGAAAATAACCAGCACTAGGATTTTGATCGAAGAATTCATACATTAAAGAGAGGAGGAAAGCATAGAAATAATTTGCAAAACGAATCATATTTGTTAAAGATGCATTTATGGTTAAAAAAAAAGTTATTTTTCTCATTAGAACGATCTATAATAACTGATTAATTAATTAGTTAATAATTTTATGTGCACCAAAAATAATTTTGTGTGCCACGGTGTAAATTTTTATTCTAAATATGTAGGAATTTGAGTGTTAAAAAATTAATTTATTACTTTAAATAATAATTCCTAACGGTGAAATAAATTACACGCTTCTCTCCATTCCTTTTTCTTTTTTTTTTTTTGCTGATCTTCTCCATTCCCATTTGCTAACAAGCAAAAGAATCACTCCAGCAAGTAGCAAAAACCGAGGAAAATCAAAGGCAAATATTTTTAGCGCTGTCAACGTCTGCTTTGACAGGCAGTACGCGTTTTCTTTCAAAGTCGCAGTGAAAAAGGTGTTAGCAAAAGAAAACAATTAAAAAGGTCGTAAAAAAACAATAAATTCAATCCCTTTTTGTTTTTTTTTTTTGGAACTTTTCTTACAGGATCAGAAAAAAAATAAATAAATTATCGGTAGTTTTTTATTTTCAGTAGTCAGATATATATTAAGAATTATCCGTTTTATATATTTTTTAATTTAATGTGATTTTAATCTGATCTAACGATCAGAAACTGATAATACAAATAAGACTAACCTAAAGAGAAACTCTATTTTTTTAGCAAAAAACCTATGCTATTGCTTTCGTTATATTTATAGTAAATTATACTTGTGAATCTTAAAATATTCGTCTTTTACATCATCAATCCTGAACTTTTGATTTTCATAAAACATACCATGAATATTAAAATCAGTAACAATTAATTAGGTTTTCCATTAAAAAATAAGAATTCAATAATTAACGAATATTATCAAATTAACAGTTTAAAATACGAGATTCACAAATGAAAGTTGAAGATCGTCCTTTTCAATCATGCCACTTATATGTCTTGAACTGTCAGTTTGTAAATACATTATTAGTTATTAGGCTTTAATTGCAATTAATTTTTTAAAGTTCAAGGAGTATTTTTAAAAAATTAAAAGTTTGGTATCTATTATATAATTTAGAAATAGTTTAGGATGCAATAGTTCAATTTACTGTTATATTTATATGTAAAAAAAGAACGCATACTGATTTTTATCTAAATTCTAGACTTTAGTATGGTTGCAAGTATAACATAGTAGTAACTCAATTAATTTTTAAAAAAATTGGTTTTAGCCTAAACGAGCATTTGGTGTATTTTTTACTCTTTTTGTTAAGGTTTTATATTTTAAAATGTGATGAACAACTCTTAATAAGAATTAGTTTACGATGCAATAGTGCAATTTACTCTTACACTTATATGTAAAAAAAATAACGCTTACTCATTTTTATCAAAACTCTGGTTTTAGTATGGTTGCAAGTATAACCTAGTGCACAACAAAAATAATAGATTTAACATCTCTTGAAAGACGAAGATTAATAGATAACCGTCATCTAATGTGATGCCCCAAAGCGCATGTCAGCTGGCGATTTATATTAGACGATGGTTATTAATAAATCATCGTCTAAAATATTGTACGTTAGACGACAGTTATTAATAAATCGTTCTCTAATATTGTACTTTGGTTGAAGATCATTTCTGGTTAGAGGAGTACCCTAGTTGTATTGCTGAGATTGTAAGTGCTGAAATGGCTTTTCCATTTAATACAACTCACTTGGTTTTCAAAAAAAAAAAAGATCAATTATCCTTATTTTTTTTGTCTCGGTGGCTATTCCTTTACTAATTAATTATTTGCCATGCCATTTAGATTTCGAAATCTTACCACATAGATAGAAACAAAATATTAAAATAAAAGCAAACCCCGAGGTGTCAATATTTAATTTGAATGGCATCCACCAAGACAGGAAAATGAGACAATGGATCTTGTTTCCATTTTTAGAAGGGATAAAATCATTTTAGTACCTTATGTTATAACGAAACATGCTATTACTACTATGTGTTTTTGATAATATTGAAACGAAACCTTGACATTTTTAAAAATATTTTCTTGCGTTGAAATAGATTTTTTGGACATATAATGTTCAAACTACTATTCTTATTAATTAAATATAAATCAATATTTTAAGACAAATCTAAAAATATTTTTAAAAAATTAAAATATTTAAAAGAAAACAACAAAATGTAAAAGTTCATGATTTTTATTCTAGACTTTTTAGTTTTTTATTACTCAATTACTCAAAAAGAAGGGTACTAAGGTCATTTTATATCTAAAAAATTAGCTTTAGTGTATCAAGAAAATAATTTTAAAAACGTCGAAGTACCGCTTTAATATTATAAAAAATACATGGTACTAATAGTATGTTTCGCAATAACATAGAATACTAAAATAATTTTATCCCTTTTTAGAATCAAGGTTTGTTGTTCAATTTTCCTATCTCGTTGGTTGTCCCTTCAATTAAATTTTGATGCCTCATGCATTGTAAGTATTTTAGTTTTTAGTTCTTATTCATGTGGTCAAATTGTTCAATTTAACTTTAAATGATATGTTTAATAAATAATAAAGGAACAACTAATGAAACAGAAAAATAGAGACAACATATTTGGACTCATTTTTATCCTTTTTTTTTCTATATTGCTTTTTAGTTTTTCCCGAAACATTTTATACTTTTTTGTCTTGGTCCCTTTATTTTTACTTCTTTCTCCTAAATTTTATATTTTAAAATGACTTTTATTAAAATATTTTTCTTCTAGTTTGTCTCTATGAAAATAATTTTCCTCAAATATATCCTTAGTTAAACAGTTTTTTTTCATAATCCTCTAAAATATTATTTTATCTAATTTGGTCACTATAAAGTAAATTTTTTCAAAGAATTTCTCTACTTTAAATAATTTTTTCCGAATAAATTGCTAGTTAAACATCTTTTCTCTTCTCAGATGTAATTGTGATCTATCCCAACCACGTCGACAAGTATACAAATTCTTTGTCTCTCATTATTTTCTGCATTTTATTTATTCGTTCATTCTCTAGATCGATACTCATACGGGGCAATAAATCAGACATTGAACAACTTATATATCGGTCATCGGCTCTCATACAAATCGACCACCTGTAAAAATCCACCCCTACATTTTCTATATCAAGAAAAAAAAAAAAAAAAAAAAAAAAAAACCAGATGCACCTCTGTATATAAGCCATCAGAAACGCGGAGAAGTTTGCTTTTCCGCAGTGGCGCACATAAGATAGTAGTCTAGTAGTCTACCATAAAAGAAATGAAAAAAAAAAAAAAAAACACTTTCGTCTTTTGTTAAAGAAATTAATAAAAAAAAATCTTGTAATATACGCTAAAGACGTCACCAGTACAACGAGTGAAGACAGTCTAATTGATTGTAAATTCCTCCACTTCAACTATAAATTGAGAGTTCGAGTCACCTAAATCTCGCGTAAAAGTTGTGGCATTCTCCTTCCCCTTTATCAAAAAAAGACATCACAATGACCTCAGCAATTTCCTAAACATGCTATATATTTATATAAGCTGGAGCCTCTCACACATTACAAGCTGACCTTCCTTCATGTATTCTCTATCAACATTATATTCCTAACTCTCTCAAATAACATTACAATATTCTGTCCTTCCAGCTCTAATTAGTGTTCTCTGATTCGTTTCTTGTAATTCATTCTCTACCATTACATCTTTAATTTTGTTTACATATTTTCATCTATATATATAGATATAGATATACAACACAACATCACTGAGAACAATTAAATGGCAAAAGTTAATCTTCCGGAAGGAGGATTAATACGATATTGTGTGATAATTCTATCTCTTCTCATTGGGAAAGCTCTTAGTTGGAAGGTGAGACACTATGACTTCGATGTCGAGTACATGTACCGGTCGCTGGACTGCGTCCAGCACGTGGTGATGGGGATCAACGGCCAGTTCCCCGCTCCCACCATAAGGGCCAACGCCGGCGACACCGTCGTCGTTCGCCTAACTAACAAGCTCCAAACCGAGGGAGTTGTCATTCATTGGCATGGAATCAGACAGGTACTACGTACAATTATACGACCATCTAATTATTATTATTATTCTTCCAGTTAATCACAATGATCATATATAATGATATTGTTGTGATTAACTTTCCTAATCACTTTTTTTCCTGATTTAATGTGTTACTAAATGTTCTTTTTTTTTTTTTTAGTTGGGAACTCCTTGGGCAGATGGAACCGCGTCAATCTCACAGTGTGCTATCAACCCAGGAGAAACCTTCACTTATAGGTTCAAAGTTGATAGGGTAATTTCCTTTCTTTTTTTCTTTTTTTTTTTCTTTTTTTCCCCAGCGTTACGTCAATAATATTCTAGTTCTTCGGTGTTCTGTTCTCTGTCTGTTACCTTTTTTTTCTTTTTTTCCCCAGCGTACGTCAATAATATTCTAGTTCTTCGGTGTTCTGTTCTCTGTCTGTTACCTTTTGGCTAAAAAAGGGAACGACTGATACTCCATTACAATACTGGTGGTTGGCAAAGCATGCGCGTTTGCCGGAAGGCACTAACTACGGAGTGTTTTTGTAGCTAGCTTTACCTTATGTCACAACTCACAACCATATAATTTATCATTCTACCATAATATATATATATATATATATTGAAATCATCACCAAGCGAGTTTAAAACAATGTAATGTGTAGTTCCTTTCAAATGTACGAGCCCGTTCACTTCGCTGATTTGAATTTATAATTCGAGTTAAGATGTGATTTTGTGTGAGAGCTTTTTACTGTAACAAAAAAGTTAGATGTGACTGTTTCTGAGAGCTTTTTACTGTAACAAAACTCGAATTCTAAACTCGAATCGATGAAATGAACGAGGCCGTAAGTAATTGTTGTTACTTGTCTAATACAAGTTTTGTTCTATTAGAAACAGTTACATCTAATTTTTTTACTATAGTAAAAAATTTCACATAAAATCATATTTTAACTCGAATTAAAAATTCGTATCAACGAATTAAACGGATCTTATATTTATATATGCTTGTTTATACTCCCCATATGCCTACATGCACTAGATCTTAATATTATAGTGCAACTTGCAGCTGCTGGTTTCTTAAAAAAGTAATAAATAAATAAAGAAACCTTCAACTTATTTGGAAATGAATCATGGAAAAGACTCTTTACATTAAATCTGTGTAATAATAAATACAGAAAGAAACCTTCAACTGATTTGAAAATGAATCATGGAAAAGACTCTTTCAGACATTAAATCTGTGTAAAAACCGTTAATTTTACGTATTTTTTTAATTTGGTGCGATTTTGATTATATACATAATTAAAAACTAATTTTATCGGCAAGGAAAAGTCCATCCAGCGATACTCTTGTAAGCAAACCTTTTATGGAAAGAATTTTTACGTTGTAAAAAGGTTATTATATGGTGCAGGCGGGAACATATTTTTACCATGGGCATTACGGAATGCAAAGATCAGCAGGGCTGTATGGGTCATTAATAGTCGACGTGGCAGAAGGAGAGAAAGAGCCATTCCACTACGATGGTGAGATAAACCTGTTGCTGAGTGACTGGTGGCACCAAAGTGTTCACGAGCAAGAAGTTGGCCTCTCTTCTTTGCCGTTTCGTTGGATCGGTGAACCGCAGGTAATTAACATTAAACCCGCTTCTTAATAGCATCTCTGTTGTTTTTTTTTTTTTTTTTTTTTTTTTTTTTGTGTAAGCTCTTTTTGTTGAAGAAGAATAAGACTTTTCTAACCTACTCCACTTTTCCTGCTGCCTACTCCGAGAATTTCCAATATTGGTTATTAAATTGACTTTTTGACTCTTTCCACACAATTAATTAAATTCGATTCTCAATCCGCGTCAGATTTGAATTTTTTGCAGTAGTTTTTTTTTTTTCTTGATTGTTAATAGTAGTATAAAATACTACTTTGGTAAAACCCTAGTATAAGACTGCTTCAAATATTATTGTTTGTGCTATGATCGTTTTGAATCCTTTTAAATTTCAAAACCTACTCCGCTTTGTCTCATGGGGCCTATGAAGTCAGCGCGCACACTACTTTATAGAAAGTGCGGGACTAGGCTAACATTTTTATTTTTAATTCGATTCGATTTCTAATTTAAAGTACGATATTTTGTAAATACAGTGTAATTATCTCTTGATTTTAGTTAGATCTAACATTAAGTGGATCACATAACAATATTTTTGAATTTAGGGTTCACTAATTAAATAATAAAATACTGGGCTTCGTTCCTCACTTCCTTGTGGATCACTCGGATAATCCACTCGGATAAATGTAGTAATTCAAGCTAATAAAGTATACTACTACTAAGATGCATGTTAGGATACTAAAAAGCATATATAAATTCAAAAAAAAAAAAATTTGTTATATTTTTAGGGTTTCTCTATCTCTACCCCCAAAGCCACCTCTATCCCCACATCTACCTCTGCCACCTCAAGTTCCTCAGCCTGGTCTCCATTTCCAGCATCGCTTGGCTGGTTTCCTCATATATTATCTATCCATAATATATCCTTGTATTTTAAATGATAGTAAAAGAAAAAAAAAAGAATGAAACATATTATTATGCTGGTAGAACTTTATCCAGACTTCGTTCATTTCACCGATTGGAGTTTTTAATTTTAGTTTTACTACAGTTAAAAACTCTCATAAAAAGTTACATCTAACTTTTATGTTACAGTAAAAAATTCTCATATAAAATTATATCTCAACTTAAATTAAAAACTCGAATCAACGACTGAACGAGACCCCAATCTTTAAAATGGTCGAGTGGTCAATCAATGTTTGAGTCGTTATTCCCAAAGTTTTCCAACTAAAAAAATCTCAATTCCAAAACACTTAATCGGACGAAAGAAAAAAGGATGAGAAAATAAAATGAGACAAACGATTAAGAGTACTGCTTCTAAACGTTAAACCGCCCTAATTAAATAAAAATAAAAAATTATAGACAAAACATAAAAAAAAATATAATAAATATTTGATGCTTCAAAATAGTGTCGATACCTAGATTTGTTCTTTTGTACCCTTTCGAAAGAATTCTCAAAATAGAAAATTGAGGCATAAAGCAATATAATTGTTTTTATTCAACCTTAGTTAATTCATACCACTACATATTCCTTTTCGTAATTGTCACTTTCATTATTTTGACGTATCACTTCTTTATTGGATTCTCCATATATAATCGATTTTTGCAGAGCTTGTTGATAAATGGAAGGGGACAGTATAATTGCTCGCTGGCAGCGCACTATAGCAACTATTCGAACGGGAACCAGTGCAAATTACGAGGAGGAGAACAGTGCGCACCCCAGATTCTCCATGTGCTTCCAAACAAAACCTACAGGCTAAGGATTGCCAGTACCACAGCCTTAGCTTCTCTCAACTTGGCCATTGGGGTAATAAATCATTATACATATATATACATATATATATATATATATGCTCTCACTAGCTACTTTATATTCCCACGTTGTTTATATGCCTGCATATTCTTTTTTGATTGAAACATGTGCTAATTCCATATTGTATGTACAATAATTATACATGCATATTCTTTTTTATTAGAGATTCTATATTGTATGATCTCATTAGACTTCATAAAACTGCACGGTTTATAAAGAATAGAATAATATCGAGAAAGAACACAATAAGACTCCATTATATATATATATATAATTAGGTATAAAATACTGTGAAATGGTCCCTCTCCCCTCATAGAATGCCCCTTTTTAGTATTGGTTTCATGTTCTGTCTTGGTTTTAGAAAAAGAACATTGGGTGATTAAGAACCCTACTTTTTTTGGATAGACGATGTAGTAATGTCTCAGAAAAATTTTAAAGGTCGCCACTGATATTAAGCACCTCTACTAATAGAATGTGAGTTTCACTTATAAACGAGACTCATATTCTATTAGTGGCGATGTTTAACACTTACGTTAAAAGAGTATAAAGTTAGGAATGTTTGTCGGCAATAATTCCCTTTGGAAGGTATGTTTTACATAAGGATTAATTTTGCTTCTCATGCACAAGGATTAATTCTATTTTTGGGACCTAATTGGCCCATATCGGGTAAAAGTCACCTAGTTTTTTTAGACTATATATGTATAATTTAATAAGGATCTTACTACTAATTATCTTATTAAAGAAAGACATGAGTTTTATGTTACCAAGTTTTCATATATATATATATATATATATATATGTGCGTGTGTGTGTGTGTGTGCTTGATCAATGCGATCTTGGGTCTTGTACTAATAAAATAAGATTAGATAGTTATCGCAAAATTGTTAATAATCTACTAGCATATCATTTCACGGCATCTATTTAATCATGTTGGCGAGTGCATAAATAATATGCACATATAATTATAACACAACTCTGTGATTACTACGTAACATTATGATCTTAAATCAATCTGTCTCTAAATTTTGTGTGCTCCGTTTTATGTGTTTTCTAATTTAAAAAAATAATAATAATACTACGTGATTATTACCCCCGTCGGGTCAAGAATGAAGAAAGTGATAGGAAAGGGAAACCAAAATAACAAACAAAAACAAGGGGGGAATCAAATTCCTTAGATTAAGGGGAAGAAAGTCAAAACAATAGTGATACGCGCAACAGAACATTACCATATTCCTTTCCCCGGTGCATGGACTAGGAATTAGTGGGGGAACAACACTAGTGAGTAGTGATTGCCAACGAATAAAAGCATATATATATATATATATATATATGTGTGTGTGTTTGTAGGATGGAAATAGAATATACATTTGCATAGTAAGTGACAAGTACTACTACCTATTAATACAGAAATAATTGCCATGCTGCTTCTACAGGACCCACTTTATACGTTCTAAATCTAATTATACATAAAAGAGCAAAAACTCTTTTTTATGAGGCTGTCATGTGGCAGTCCCTGCACTTAATTTTTTTTTTTTTTTACTTTTTTATCTTTATTTTTTTGTGAATTTTGTATATTTTAACTTTTTGTGTTTTTTTTAAAAAGATGTTTCTCATTTTATTACTATGAGAGTAATTTTTTTCGCACGTGTTTTTGTTTTATTTTTGGTTGTTTAAATAAATTTCTTTAAATGTGTCCTTAATTTTTTTTCAATTATTATCTTTACACATATTTCTTTTTAAAATAAATTTAAAATCATTAAATGGTTGTACAAATAAATTTCTCATTATTCAGTAAACAATAAACTCTTTAAATGTCTCTAACACGGTAATACGTGCGGAGTACATTACAAAATTAGTATATGAACAAACTATCATCATGGATCCTTGAAAGGAACCAAACCCTATCAAAGCAATATCTACAAGATCTTTTAAGATCATATAGAAGTGTGAATTCTTCTGTATTTCAACTTTAGATTGACACATGCGTGCTTATTTGTTTGCTTTTAAATTTTAAATTTCTTTTTATTTTTTTGAAAAAACTTGTGTTTTTAAATATTTTAAGTACACTTTTTTTCCTGATTTTGAACGGTTTTTTTTTTTTTCAAATTTATCTATGTTTAAAATTTGTTTAGTCTTCTAAATTATTATTTTCTTAAGTATAGTACTAATAAATATATTTTTCTAATTACCCCACCAAAATATATATATATATATATATATATCTCTTTTCTTCTATATATATATATATATATCTCTCTCTTTTCTTCAAATGGGTACAAAGTTCTTTTAATCACCCTCCTTTTTATCAAAAACCTATAATGGAAACTGAATCAGGGCAAACGCCACCTTTGTTTATTTTTATATTTATAACACTTCTGTGTATGGATATTCTAGAATATATACACACATATATGGACGAGTTTTTAAGAGTTACCTTGATATAAAAATGTAATGGCACAACATGATAAGAATTTAATTATATATATTAAAATTATTACACAAATTTTTAATTATTATGTAATATATTTATATTACTTTTGTTCAATATATATGTTAAATTTCACAACTATCTAACAAAGTTTACGCTATTAGTTTATAAAGTTTTATGATGCTAGTTTTACTTGAAAAATAATTAAAAATAAGTTTTATATTAAAACTTTGCTAATTGTACTTAACAATTTTACATGATTTTTTAACATATTATATATATATATATATGTGCAAGATAAAAATACTTTTGTTATTATTGAAGAGCGTGGCTGAGATGTGTCCTACATACTCGTACAACTGAATATAAGGGGGCGTTTGGTAGAGAAATTCGTTTTCTGATTCGAATCATGATTTATAGTTCGTTACAGTATTTTTTCTCACAAAAAATACACATAAATCAAAAATAATTCGAATCATATAGTTTAAATCTTCCAACTAAACGACCCTAAGATTCTCATTTCTCCACCTCTGGACAATATTTTCTCTGCGGATTTCTATTATTTGTAAACACAACACACAAAATGATTGACCCTTTTCCAGTCCCATAGCATTGATTAACCTGCAACGCTGCAGCCCATGTGATGCATATCATAAAAGATATCTTTATCCCCAGAAGGAATAGAACCTGTTTTGGTCTTTTTTTTTTTTTTAATGTTGGCTTGATTTTAGTATTCACACTTTTCGTCATTTGTGACTCAATTTAATTTGAACCAACTATGATAGCACTATAGTATTGAGATTCCTCGTTAGTACCGTATGATCACGGTTTTGTTTTGAACTTCAGACTTATATTAAATTCTGATAATTTTACATATATATATATATATATATTTTATCATTTTTCACCAAATACAATTAGAATCTGAAAGGTGCATTAATAAAAACCTCCATGTTAGTAATATATAAAAATTTACTATTATTAGTGGCGATACTATATCTTCAGAAATTATTGTAGTAATTAACTTTCACTTTTTTTTTTTTTTTTTGATATAGTTTAAATCTTCCAACTAAACGACCCTAAGATTCTCATTTCTCCACCTCTGGACAATATTTTCTCTGCGGATTTCTATTATTTGTAAACACAACACACAAAATGATTGACCCTTTTCCAGTCCCATAGCATTGATTAACCTGCAACGCTGCAGCCCATGTGATGCATATCATAAAAGATATCTTTATCCCCAGAAGGAATAGAACCTGTTTTGGTCTTTTTTTTTTTTTTTAATGTTGGCTTGATTTTAGTATTCACACTTTTCGTCATTTGTGACTCAATTTAATTTGAACCAACTATGATAGCACTATAGTATTGAGATTCCTCGTTAGTACCGTATGATCACGGTTTTGTTTTGAACTTCAGACTTATATTAAATTCAGAAATTATTGTAGTAATTAACTTTCACTTTTTTTTTTCCTCCTCAACACTCAAAACAGGGTCAACGGCTACACCAAGTGGGCCATCAACAATGTCTCCTTAGCACTGCCACCAACCCCTTACTTGGGCTCCATCAAGTTTGGGCTCAAGAACGCATTTGGCAACACAAGCCCGCCCGAAAGATTTTCCGCCACCTATGACATCATGAAACCCCCGGCCAACCCGAACTCAACAGTTGGCAGCGGGGTTTACATGCTCGGGTTGGGCACCACGGTGGATGTGATACTGCAAAATGCTAATGCCCTATCCGAGAACGTTAGCGAAATTCACCCGTGGCACTTGCATGGGCACGACTTTTGGGTTCTCGGTTACGGGGAGGGGAAATTTTCCACGGAAGACGAGAAAAATTTGAACCTCAAGAACCCGCCGCTTAGAAACACGGCGGTGATTTTCCCGTACGGATGGACGGCTCTCAGATTTGTCGCGGACAATCCCGGGGTTTGGGCATTCCATTGTCACATTGAGCCTCATTTGCACTTGGGGATGGGAGTGATTTTTGCTGAAGGTGTTCACCGAGTAGGGAAGATACCTAATGAGGCTCTTGCATGTGGTTTGACTGCAAAAATGTTCTTGAGTGGTAAGAATAACTGAGATTATTGATTAACCACTCACAAATATTAATTGGAGCACTATTTATTAGAGTTTATGTACTTCAACAATACCCTCGGCCTAGATAGCATTTTTTTTTTCCTCTTCCTTTCCTTTTTTGGCTTATTTTTAAGTATGAATATAGAATAATTGTATGCGAGAAGAGTATTTTATTGTGAATGTATTTGGCTCTTTGATGTGCTATCCATGTAACCCGGACATATATATATATATATATAGCGACTATTTGGTATATTTATGTAATTGGATTGGTTTTCTCGGGGCATTTTTAAATAAGGTACACAGTTTAGAGAAAAATTATGAAAATAATCCTTATTATTTTACCCAAAAGAATAGTACTAATGGTACTCTATGGTATAGCTAATTATCTAAAGCAGAATTATCTTGTTTAACAATATTAGTACTCTATGGTATAGCACTTTATCAAATGGTATATTCATATTTTTTTAAGTACCATTATATTATACAAATTTACTTTTTATTTTTTCTTTTTTAATTGTCTTTAATCGGTTAATATTTTGAGAATTAGGGCCCAACTAATATTTTTGAATAATGTTATAAGACACCAGTGGTATTAAACACCACCATCTAATAGAAGGCGGACTCCGTAGTGTGGGGTCCACCTTTTAGTAGATGGTGGTGCTTAACACCACTGGTGGTGCCTTTTAGCATTTTTTAATATTTTTTGAGGGGAAAGCATTCAATAAACTACAAATATCACAACTAATTAGTAATTTAATAGTCATATCAACATTTCCGTTCAAAAAATTGATATAATCAAGATAGATTGTGAAAAGTTAGAGACACATTATATTCCGAGAGGCACAACAGGTACATTTTAAAATTCATGAGGCATATTGACATTAGTGACAAACTTCAGGGAACATTTATAAGCATTTCTGTTAAAAAACTTCCGAAATTATACTCAAGGAGCATGTTGACAAAAATGACAAAGTTTAGAGAGCACAATATACATATTTTAAAGTTTAAAGGGCATATTGACACAAGTGAAAAAGTCAGTGGGAATTTATAAAATTTATCCTACAATTTAACTCCACTTGAGCAAACGACACAGCATGAAGCATCCTTAACTTGAGCAAACGACATGTAAGTGACGACAAGAGAAAGCACAAATGGCACATGCACTTGCACCGTAGCATATATACAGAGAGCAGATGTGAAGATTGTGGAGTAATGAGTATTCCTTTCAATTAATGTTTAATTGTACTATATTAATATTTAAATAATCCTTAAATACTGATTATTGAGAGCCGTCTTTGATCTAACGAATTATTTTTCAACCTTCAAGCAAAATGTATATATATATATAT